TAAAGAAACACTTAATTAAAGAGGTAAAATTCATAACTTTATGGCAGTATAAAAATGTTTCTCATTTTATATCTACTAAGGATCAAACCCCTAAGGAGTACAGAAGTTCTGTTGTCTATCATTTTATGTCCAGGCTGCAATAGTGATTATATATGTAAGACAGATAGGTGCTTAATAACTAGACTTAAAGAACATTCTTCACGATCTGATAGTGTTATATTTGATCATGTTAAAAACTGTGAGGCATTCCAATATGTTTTAGGATTACAGGGTATACTTGAAAATGATAATGTCGTCTGTAATGTAAGTAATAAATTAGGTTTAATATTTTCTAGTACTAACATTATTGACAGCTCCCGAAACTGGTCTATCCTATTGTTTAAAGAAGCGTTCGCTATACGTAGACTACACCCTTTGCTTAACAATGGGCTCAGAGCTTCAAAAGAGCTTTCTTTGTTTTTGTAGGTATCTTTGATCATTAGAGTAAGAATGCTTTGATCTTTTTTTTAAATCACTGCTATGTCACCTACTAGAGGTAATGTTTTGATTGGTTAAACACTTTTGGTACTAGTGCATATAAGCTTGCTAATATGGATAATTTTTCATTCCTGATGATGACATAATTAATGTCGAAATATTGAATCCCAACACGATGGCGTGTATTTCAATACTTGGAGTATGTATTATACTTTCTTACGGTAGTAACAGTAACAGCAATGTATTTCACAAACCTGTATTGAGGCCGAGTATCACTGTTAAGTAAATCACAGGAGTCCTAAACGTTTTATGATGGGGTTGCAGAGAAACATCTTCGACTTTGTGAAAAGAAAATATTTGCAGGCAACAATAACAATAATAATAGTCTTTATCATTTTTTTTAACAGTGATACCTGGCCCCTTAGGTTTGTGTATCTTTTGTTGTTGGACTACGCACTCTACCAACCACGTCATGGAAAGACTATTTTTCCTCTCCTGTATAATTCTTTTTATTTGTTAAAAAATATACGAATAAAGAGTAGTAATTCATTTATTTATTGTTGAATCGTGCTTAAGAACTAGGCCTACTGTTGATACAATAAGTTCATTACAGTAAAACAAACATGTTTTGTTTTTTATGGCATGACATGGGTATTGTCTTGTTCTTTTTTATTATTGTTTGTAATGTTTAATTGATGACATAAATGAAATGAATGATTGTTGCTTTCGAACAGTTTCTGTGTGGTTTCCATATCAAAACCAGTCAAACCAAACAAGCAGCACAGCATGTGTCGTCTTCCTGCCATCTATCATTGTCACGTGTCTATTTGGCCAATCAGAACACGGTTGACGTCTGTTCTCTACTCGCAAGTAGTTTTAGTTGAGATACGAGATATACACGTGTAAAGCCGTGTGTGTGTGTGTGCAGCCATTGCTGTACAACTCAATGTAGGCCTATCAGTAATTAACGAGTTTAGATTTAATATTATGATGTTGGTATTCTTTTGTGGGAATAATCACTAGCATTAGTGTTAATTGGATAACTGAATAACGTGTTAAATTATCGTGCACGCTTTTAAGAAGTTATGTATTTCTAGTTAGTAGAAATGATCAAAGCCTTTTCCTACTACAGTAAATCTTGAATATCGTATCGCTAGCAACGAACTTGTCACGAAGTCTCGTACCGCTTGAGTGGGCTCGAGAGTGTTATGGATTAATTTTATATCACGCACTCTATTGTTTATATTCTGGTTCCCGTATTAAATTAATAGATTATTGATACTTAACAGAAGTTAACTATGTTATAATACTATGAAAATTGTGATTAATGATTGATATTATGTTTTATGCTTAACTTTATTTTGAGAATACGATTATTACTTCTTGTTCATAGGATGGATAAAGTTTAGCTTCGGGTTGAACCTTGGAGATGCAAATAAGTTTTCACCTTTCTTCATCTATCAAGTATTGTTGAATAAACACTTTAGAACATAGAAAGCGTTGAGACCCCTTTGTTGAGTTGTGCGACCCCCAGCTACAATTATCATTATTATTATTAATAGCAAATGTAGGGTATTAATTCAAAAATTAAATAAAAAAATTAAAGATGAAGTATTATAAAGTTTACAATATTATAAGAATAATTACATTTATTTAGATAAAAGTATGTTAATATTAGAATTTATAAGTATGTATTACAAAAATAATACTGTAATATACTATATTTCAATCAGTCAATAATTTTTGATTTAACTAGATTATGAAGATCCTGTCATAAATTGCCCAGCTGACATAGAAGTTTGTGCTGAAACTGGTTCTATAGCTGCATCTGTCACTTGGGAACTCATCAACGCAACTGACAACTGTTGTGACACTGTAAACACAACGTCAGATTTCACATCAGGAGATGAATTTGAAATTGGTGAAAATGTAGTAACATACATAGCCACTGACTGTAGTGACAACTCCGCATTATGCAATTTTACTATAACGGTGTTTGGTAATGACAATAGTTATTTTGTGTTTGTTCAGAATTGTTTAGTTATACCACTTAGAAATCGTTAATTATTTTAAAATATTATTTTATTGATGTTCAGATTGCGAAGCTCCTGTTTTGAACTGTTCGCAAGATGTCGAATTCGATGCTGATGACAATTGCACTTCCGGTGTAACTTGGACTGAAATGACAGCAACAGATAATTATGATAGTGATGTAACTGTGTTCTGTAACCCGACTGAAGGTATTTTTCCATTGGAAAACTACACAGTAACCTGTAATGCAACAGATATGGCAGGAAACATTGGCAATTGCTCCTTTATTGTTTACATTTTTGGTAGGTATTTTCTATGTAAATATTTAGAAATATTATTTCCAAGTTGTATTATGCTACTAGACACAATGTTTCCGGAACGCCCCCTCGAATAAACAAATTAGCAACGCGGATCTCTTGTCGGTTACGTAACAACATTTAACAAAATACACAAAAACGACCTAATGTCTCTCGTATGTGGACATCGTTTTTTTACTGAAGCTTTCTTATGAAAGTGACGCAGCCAAACATTATTATTACTATGAGGCAAAAATGAGGAATAATAAAAATTGTTGTGATGTCATTTTGATGAAATTTTCACTGAGATTCACACGGTGTGTGATTCATTATACTACGTCACAATCTTCACTTATAAAAGCTGCTTACGCTCTGATTTGATCTGCGTACGTTACGTGTTACAAACAGTAGTATTTGGAAGTGAGTGGCCCTTACTTTGAGGATTTGAAAAGTGTTCACATGTTTTCCTAGTGTAGCCTATGTTCATGTGCTCGGCTGTCACACTACATGTTCTGTCACAAAATATACGCCTAAACTGTTAAAGTGTGACAATTCCTGTGTATGTTACAATAAGCGTGGCTAGCTCTCTCAAACTTTTGGCAGTGTCCAAAATTCTACAACAAATTGAAGATGGTCATACAATATTACACACGCCATCTTTATAAAATTTCCCATCTGCATACCTTAAAACTCCAATGCTCCGCAGTACACCATGCCACATGGTTCTTTCTGGTTTTACCATACGTTTTGTAATAAACAATTATTTTGTCCATCCCATCTTTTTCCACTCCCATGTGGCAAGCTCTTTTACGCATTGTCACATATCTTGCTCTTAGTTCCGTTGCCTTAGGATATTGAATAGAACAACGTATACATATTATTTGTAATAACCTTTTATTTTTTAATAGATGTGGCTTCTCCTGACGTGAAATGTCCAGACAATATTACTGTTGATACTGATGAAGGTGTTAATACCGCTGCAGTGTCATGGACCTCTGCTGTCGCTACTGATAACTGTTGTGGAGATGAGATTATTGAGTCTTACAATGCCATAAATGGCACCGAATTTAGCATTGGAGTTACTGAAGTTTTTTTTACAGCAGTAGATTGCTATGGAAATCAGAATGAATGTGTTTTTATCATTGATGTTAAAGGTACATCATGCTATTATAATTATATTTCTTATCAATACATTAAAATATTTATTAATTTTATGGTTTAATTTAGATTATATAAATATATATGTACTATAATTTTAAATAATAATTATAAAATATAAATTGCTACTCAATTTATATATCAAACTACTGAACTGCTTACCATACAATCAAATAATGACATTGTTTCTCTATTAGACAAAGAAGCACCAATACTTGAATGTCCCCCAAACCAAAATGTAACAGGTGATTCTAGCTGTATGGCAACTGTAACATGGGCCGCACCGAATGTCACAGACAACTCAGGAGACATTTTTTCACCAGTATGTGATTACCTGAGTGGAACAACATTCTCTGAACATTACACTACTGTTACTTGTAATGCTACTGACGATTATGAAAACACTGGGTACTGTACATTCAACATTTTCATCATTGGTAAGATGTTTGGGAAGATATATGTAGCGGGTTCTTACTATCTTAACGTGAGTTTTGCGCAGCGCTAACACCGCGAACTACACCGGAAATTTTAACCGGGTTTGGTTCTTCAAAACAAAATACTAAAGACGAAACCAGGAATCGTGTGGATTCGGTTCGCATTTAATGGGCTTCAGTCGGTAGAGTTAACTACGTCATCCAGCATGAAAACAAAACACGTCACACGTTAACTAATTTAAACACCTAAATAATTTATTGGGCTAGGAGTATTACAGTTTGGGATTTATTATCAAGGGGAATTTAACTAGCGTATACTACTCATATGAGAATGTCAGTAGCGTACCCTTGTTGTAGTGGAACAATATTGCGAAAAGTCATACAAAAATAGTTGTCAGGGAATATAGTAAAGTGAAGTCAGTGATATCCAATAATAAAGTTACAATATTTAAAGTAATGTCCAGGGAAAAGCCCAATAGCAAACAATGTTCCAGATATACAGTAGTAAAATCAGCTTGCACTTGCTTCCAGTTTACTGTCCGGCTTTTGGTGTTATAGTACACCAGGAATATGTCTAGTGATCTTCTATAGTTTAGGCAACAAGTATGTTATAGTAAATCTAGAAACCAACTTTAAAATTCTTTTTTAAGTCGATCTGACTTGAGAACTTTTTCTCGGTATTTAATCTCCTTTCTTCTTTTCTCTCTTTTACACGAGGGTTAGCTCCACCAATTTATTTATTTGATTCATTTGGCATGACGGCTCAGGAGTCACAAAAGCAGAAAATCCACTGTCGCCTGAAAGACGTCCGGCTCCCAAATTGTTGTATTATTAAAAATTCTAGATTTTTTGGTTGGGCAGTTGTAGTTAATTGTTCCAATTAAGGTAATAAGGAGTTTTAGATATTCTACGACGAGTAATCTAGGATGATATGCTAATTATCTATGACCTAGTACACAATTGGCCACACAGATGATTGAGCTCGTGTTTTAGTTTTGCGACGACGATGCAAATACATACGTCACTACCGGACATGCTTGAGTGAATTGAAAATATACACTGTACTAATAAAATAGACATTGGCTTTGGCCTGCCCTCACTACGGGTAATAATTATTATACTGTTACAGGTCTAGACCTAGGCTTTTGTGGGGTTAGTTTTATACTGTGTAGGCCTTGCTAGGTTAATGATCAAAAGTATAAGCATATCCTTCAATTGTGAAAACAGTATTAATCATACTTCTTTTAAATTCAATGTTCAACACATCCATAAATTCAACACATCCATAAATCCTTCAAAGTAAAAATAAATCCAAAGCTTCCTTTCATAAACAAAACTGTAAAGTTTTGTACTACAGTAGCATACATGTTGTACCAATCATGTCTCTGAATGAACTTGAAACTGTTGCACGCTGTGTATCATTTTGCGCTTTAACAAATTATAACATTGGTACAGTATATTGTTGTGTTCCACCCCTGTAGTAAACATTTTATTATTCGGGGATCAACTAACTAAGAAAACTTCCTCAATTTCTTTTATAGAGCAAAAAACAAACCATACTGTAAAGTAGTAACTACTTTATGTATCAATATGATTTTAAAAATTTATTTTCAATTTATTTTTCATATTTTTTTTATACTGTTCCTTCAGGCCTATTTTTTTTAAATTTTTCATCATCTTCTGTCTTTATTTCACTCCAATTATTATTGTATAATTATTAATTTTATTCATTTTATACCTTCCTATATTAGTATAAGTGGACCAAATAATTTGCTCTTGGTTGGGTTTTGAAAATATTAGTTTGTTCAGCAATAAAATTAATATTCATCATTCTTCTAAACTATTTGATTGTAACTAAAAGATTGTGAAATTATGCAGGATTGGGCAAAAATTATTAACAACCATGTTTATTGGGTGACTTCGTTGACACCTAGCGGAGATCCAAATGAAATGCTTGGGAAGTTTATGAGCTTAAAGAATCATATTCAAAACATTTATACTGGGCATTCAGAGCACTTCCCAAATTGCCTTCATCATCCAATACAGGAAAGAAATAGGAAGAAATGGTTGGAAATATCCAGGTATAAAATATGAGCTGATAGCAGAGGCAGTCCAGTTGTGTAGCTGTGGGAAGAAAGACCTACAACTCTCCATTCCACAACTCAGTTCTCCACCACCACCTATTTGTTCAGCGTTTAGTAGACCAGAGAAAGATTTAGCAGTAGCTAAACATCTTTCAAGATTTAGCAGTCTCATGTAAACAAGACACTCAAACAAAAAGGCTCTTTTCAGAGTCATTACTTAACAAAAGAGAAGCAGTTATTAGTCTGTCTTTTTTTAATTTAATTTGTTCACACACACACATACATAATACTGTACAGCAAAAAAACTTAATGGTAAAGGAAATAAGAATAATAATACATTACATAATAAGTGTGTGGAAATTAAGAGGCCAAAATAAGTTTAGAATCAAACTTTAAGCCATGACCACCAATTAAAAATTATATTAAGCATACATCAATAAAGAATTATAAATACAACTTAATAATAAATAAATATTAAAAGTTGAATTAAGGCTATGTGTAATTATTCATTAATTTGACCAAAATGTCAAGTTTACAAACGAGCACATAGCAATTATAACACTACAAACTACAGTAATTATTCGTTGAAGTCTTATGAAGATAAGCCTATTCAATAGTGACGTTAAAGGGTCGAGACCAGGGCATAACTCGGACTTTTCGATTGACAATGATTGAAATATGTTAAATACAAGCACAATATACATCCTATGTGTAGAGTTCAGTTAGAATATGTAATTATGTATCGAATTGATTTATTATTATTACTATTACTATTATTATTATTATTATTATTATTATTATCATATACATACATACAATGTATATTTTTATATTTGCTTATGATATAAGTCATTGTAATTCAGCTTGTCAGACGGTCCTTAAGGCACAATGCTACACCCTGTCTCTTATACACATCTAGATGTGTATAAGAGACAGACACAGATGATTGAGCTCGTGTTTTAGTTTTGCGACGACGATGCAAATACATACGTCACTACCGGACATGCTTGAGTGAATTGAAAATATACACTGTACTAATAAAATAGACGTTTTGCGTATCCATGTCGATATGCAGACATGGTTCCAACTTCGGTCGGTCAGTTTTTGGCAACGTGCAAAATCTAGGATATCATTTATGACAATTTTAACCATCTTTTGGAAACTGTCCAACAACCATGGCTTGCTCTAGATAAGCTTCAAGAATTGAAGAAAAGGGCGCACCGCTCGACAACTGTTTGGGGTTCATACATGGGACCGTTCGACCCGTTTGTAGGCCTGTACAGTCGCAAAGAATTATGTACAATGAATATAAAAGACTTCTATGGTATTAAATTTCAGTCTGTCGTCGCTCCGAATTGATTAATTGCAATCCTCGGTTCTTCGAATTATATTTGTAGCTAAAAATATTTGAATTGAGCATCTCTTTTACTAAATCATTGTCCATTTCTTCATCCCATCTAAATAGGAAAAAAGTAAATATAAATTTCTTGAAAATTATAATAAATTGCATTTGTTGATAAAGTTTACTCAAGAATAATGTTCCATTATTGCATTAATCAACGACATTACATACATTTGATGTGAGTGGTCTTAGTATTGGAGTCATTATAATAGCACTTAATTTTAAGAGATATATTAAGTCCTCATTTTATTAGTAGAAAAAAGAAATAAAAAATTATGATGTTTTTATGGTGTTAATTAACAAAAACTTTAATAGGTTAAATATTGGCAGTGGGAAGGAAGGAATATATACTTAATATTTGTTTATTTACATTGACATATCAATAATACCTTTTGATCTTTTTGTTGCTGATTCTTGATCTACTGGTGTGGCCAATGGTGCTCCTGAAATTAATAAAATTATACATTGATTGAAATATTAATTGTATTTATTATTTTATATTATAATTGTTAATTATTATTTAATATTATTATTATTAAAAGAATTGTTATTATTTGGTTACTTTATTATTTTTATTATTATTTATTATATTATATTTGTTATATTATTGTTATATTATTATTGTAAGTGCCATAGATGTTTGTATTATTTATTGATTATTATATAATCATACATTGTTATCAGAGAAGAATGTTTTAGATAGATTTAGTTAGACTTACTTTATACTGTATCCTTTGTATTACAGTCAATCGCGTATGGTCGAATATTGGTGGTCGAGTAATCACAATTAGATATGATTACATTGGAAGTCACCATGATGATTCAAGTATAAAGAAATAAAGAAACCATATTTGTATTGGAAAATTTGCCTAAGCGAAGTTTTGTGGAATAAGCAGTTACAATTATTATTATTATCTATTTGAGTTTATTACAGACAAGTAGTTTTGCTTGCCATAGTGACTGTATTCTAAGACAAGATCAATAAGGTTATGGAAAACTTACCAGTACAAATAAACCTATCTTTAAAACCTACAACAATAGGTATTACTCCTGGTGTATGTTGTCCAACTGAAACAGATACAGTAAGCGTGTACAAAACTAGTAAAAAAGATAGACTAAAAATGTGTGTTGTAAAATTGCTTAAAGGTTTTATTAACAAAAAAAACCAAAAAAAAACAAAAAAAAAAACTCTACCCAAAACACAACCAAAAAACGAACATACCTAGGCCTCAGGCCTCTATTAAATATCGACCTAAATAAAACAGCACATTAGTTACTGAAATCCAAATTAACAAAAAAGTAGTAATATAGGCCTTAACGTACATGCAAAAAGCTGTTGGACAGAGCTGACTCCGGAACTTGCAATTGTAGTGGGTAGAGTATTAATTTTAATGTTACTCTGGAAAAAGTAAAATCAAAGAATATTTGCTAACTTAGGTACGGTATGACATACATATTATAAGCCTAGGGCTTAGCCTAGGGTTGAATGATAATCTGAAAAAGTAAAATCAATGAATATTTGCTAACTTAGGTACGGTTGTCATATATATTATAAGCCTAGGGCTTAACCTAGGCCTGCTCAGTATTATTATTATACCAGCATTTATTTTTTAGGCCCTAGCCTAAGCCATGCCTAATAATAGGATTAATAAATGACCCGATACTGCTTTTTCGAATCTAATTTATTTTTATATTTTTCTTTTCAATCCATATTCTTTTAGTGCTTTATGTTTTTATGGGAGTGGTAGTGGTAGTGGTAGTAGTAGTAGTAGTAGTAGTAGTAGTAGTAGTGGTAGTAGTGGTAGTGGTAGTATAGTAGAATAGTAGAATAGTAGACCTACATAGGCCTACTATAGACCTAGCCATACTTTCTTGGTAAACACAAAAGCCCAGCAAGAGTTTCGCGAGATTGAGAACGAATCTAGTGTTGACCTGGTGTTGACATGATCAACTGCCATTTGACGTACTGTCATTGGTCAAAAGTATAAGTATACGACGACGGATTCCAGGCTGATTTCACATCCTCTACGAATGAACTCGACGAAACCCAAGCATTATGAATATAATTGCGCATGCGCATATGGCTTACATTAACATCATACCGTTCCAGGTAACTTGTCGTCGCAGATCTAAAACTCGATATTGGTGTGATTAGGTAGCTTGATAGATGATGTCACTTGTTGAGTCCATGCGTCAGGTCGTCCATCTTATGATGTTATGGCAGGCTCTACTTCCAATTGTGGATTGGAATAGATACTATATAATCATAAATTTAGATCCAAGCACACATACACTCATTTACAGAAACAAATACTTTATACAT